AACATATGGGTATGGCAAAAGTATATGGTTTTAGATGTATGCACACAGCATGATATTTTTATCTCGGTTATATGACTTATTTATTTTCATCTTTCTTATCACACTTGCATATGGAATTATCTTATTCGTGTTCGGATGGAGATATCGAGGGATCCCATTAGTCTTAATAAGAGGCGGTCAAATGCTTCGAGTTGCGTTAAAAGGATTTGACTGTCCATTGATTAATTAACAATTCGGATTCCGTTGGGATTTGGGAGCGACTCCATTGATTCTCGTCACTCCAATTAGGCTTTTACTGCCATTTTATCGTTTCGTTATGTTATATTTACGGCATAAATAGACTTCATGCAAAACGCTTTAAAGTGCCCTATTCGACAGGCTTTTTTACTTATTTTTGTTCTGCTTGAAAAGCTAAACATTGAACGTTTAAGGCGTCAAGACTGACCCATCTGACGCTGCCGAACAGAAAAGACCCATTTTCTCGCTGGACCACTAGCCAAAGCATATCAAGCTGTTCCCTAATGGTTGCATTAAATATAGAAGTTCTACAGCAGAGGTAAGTCTTCTTTTCAGCTCATCAATGGAAGATAGGCCTTCGACGGTTAACACAAAAGAAAGAGGATATTGGAGACTGGCTTTTTACGAATCATATTTGAAATGGCGGAATCTAATTAGTGTCCTTAATCCAACTCCCACCTCTGTCCTTTAAGAGTGCCAAGTCCCAGGATGGGAAGATGCAATTCAGGGCAGGATACTTTCAGACTTTAAGTTAATAAGCTCAACTACAAAGGCCAACATCGTCACTTGAGATCCGAACTGTTCGATTTTAAGAAGCGTGAAGCCATTGGCATTTTGAAGAGAACACTGGGTGGACTAATGCAAACAGGCGACAAGTGCAAATACTAAAGCACGAGATGAAGTGGGTTGATCTCGTTTTGGCAATTTGAAGGTGTTGCCAGGGTGAATAAACCTACTCCGCAGTCCTCTGTCAGAGTAGCCATGACAATTGCCATCGTTTGCCCGTAGAATGGGTACATTAACAGACGTTCCACCGACATCGTCTATGAGCCTTTTCATACAGAGACAAATCAATTTAATATGAAGAAGAACTGCGTTTCGAAAAATTCCTTAGTTATCTATTGTGACGTGACTTTATATTTCCAAGGAAAAGTTGAAAGGAATTCGCGAAATGGGAGGGGATTGCCGCGGAGTGGAGACTGTTGGATTGTGCAAGCGAAGTTTGCGGCTCATCGTCCTACGAATCCGATAAACCTGCGCGTAGTTTTCGTCTGTCTGTCAGGGCGAAAAATCATACTTTGTGCTCATGTCTGTCAAGGTACAAGCGAAAGCTTAGCCAAGGTTCATCAATAATACGAGATGTACCGTATTTCCTCATGTATAAGCACCCCCTTTGTATAAGCCA